GCGCCTCGTTGCTTCGTTACACTACATCTTTGTTTCAAGGGGTGGGTGTGTAGCTTTGGGGGTCGGGGTGGACGGAGGGGGGGGGAAACGCCAGCAAGGTCCACAAAGAGCGATGGGGGCTTTGCCATCCCCCCCGTCCTTTATGAGCGTGGGAAGACGTGCCGGCGTGCCGTTTTGTTGCAAATGATTGCGAGAGCATCTTGGGTTGCGTTGGGGAGGGGAAGGGAGGGGGGAGCACAGGAGAGGGAGAAACTGGTGCCCCCCCTTTTTAAAAAAAAAGCGAAAAGAGGAAAATAACACTAAGGTTGATCTGTCGTGATGCTTTTCCAGCGGAGTCCCTAATTCCTCTCGGGGGAAAAGGAGCGGGGAGGGCATGGGACTTAGTCCTGGCAAGGTGCACGAGACTCTTGACGGCCAAGGAGGGTGATGGATGGATGGACAGCGAAGGAGGCTGAAAGCACAACCGCCTATTGGATGTGCCATCCGCGTAAGAAAAAAAGGGGCTTTACTGTGCCATTCTTTTCTCCCTTTGTTAGCTTAGCTGCATACAGCTTTCTGCGGGGTGAAGGGGGGGGCTGGAGACTCTGCTACCCAAAACTCCAGGAGAATCTTTAGTGTATGGGCATGCATTGCATCTGGTGGGGAGGGCGGCATGATGGTTGTTGTTGCTATTATTATGTCCAGGTGTGTGGAGAGGGCTTGTTGCAATATTCCTGGACTGCCACCATTTTGGGGCGAGGGAAGGGATGTTAGAGCCAGGTACAATATGCTAAGCCAGGGAAGAGCATGCATTTAGTGGTAGCAGCTGCATTCAGCCAGGAGGACAATGATGATGGTGGTGGTGATGGAAGCAGTGGGGATTACTCTTGTGTCCCCTCCCCTTTCTGCTCGCCCTGCCCATCACACATTTTCTCAAGTGTGGTTTACTACCCGCTTCATATTTTGATCAGTTCAGTCCTGCAGAAGTCCAACAGGGCTGCGGGTGGAGCTCCACTGGGCATGCAAATTGTCCTGTTAAACATCCAGACTCTTGCTGTCAGCAGTCAAAAAAAGGAACTAACCTGAAAGCCTGTAGGCAGCAGCATTTGCTCAAAATGATCACACCAGTGATTCTGGAGTACTTCTGAAATGAGCCGGATTAGTTCCATTATAATAATTGAGGCAGAATGAGGTAGTTCTAAAGCTGCATCTTTGGATAGGTAGAAAGATGGGATTCTGGTAGCATCTTTACTTTGTGATCAGAGTGGTTATAAAGCCACACACTGAAAGGAATTAGGGAGGCGCAAGTGTTGCCTCGAATCTACACTTTCTAGGAGTTGTAAAAAAAGAATAACTGCTTGATGACACTGGGATGAGTCATGATTCACAATCTGAGGTTTCTCGTCTTGTGGCCTCTGTTCCTCTTGGCCAGGCAGGGGAGGGAAGGAAAAGGGAGATCAGGTCTATCATATTAATTACAATTATTATGGGTGACTCTGCTTTAAAATCAGCCAGCCTGTACCTCTTCCAATGCTTGATGGTGCTCCTTGTGCATGTGGGTAATGATATAGATTAACACTCTGCTATGCATGTGTCTGCCTTCCAATCCTTTGAAAGACATGCCTGTGTTTAGGAGTGGTAAGCATGAAAGAGAGAAGGTGGAGGAGGGAGAGATTTGTACCACTGATGAAATATATTGAAGTTCCCCTACACTGTTTGTATTTAATATTTCACGTAAATCATCTCTGTGATCTTATATGCATTTTTTCTTAAGTTGGTGTGCCATATTGTTATTGATTGATAATCAGTGCAGACGTTGCAGATTTAATTCATATGAAGCAAATTCATGACATAGACTTAAGAAAGTCTTTGCCCCCCTCCCAACATTTGATATTCTAAGTCTCAAACATGTGCATTAATTTTTCACCCAAGTGCTGCTACACATCTGATTTAACAAATACTCACCAAGTGATGCTACTTGTCATGAACTGTGAACATTTGTGCACAAGAGGAAGCGGAGATGCAAATATTTTAATAATACATATCTTTGAGTCCAGCATATTGTGTGTGGGTTGCTCTCTATATGTAATGTTCAGAAAGAGACTATTTGTGTTAACTTTTCAATACTAAACTAAAAATACAGAGTAGGTACAGTGGACCCTCGACTTACAGACGGCTCGACTTACAGACTTTTCGAGTTACAGACTTCTCTGGCTGCATAATTTAGATTCGACTTGCAGCCGGAGAATCGACCTACAGACCAGAAAAAAAACAAAATGGAACAAAAATAGAATAAAAACTGCCAGTTGTGGGATTAATCAGTTTTCAATGCATTGTAGGTCAATGGAGATTCGACCTACAGACTTTTCGACTTACAGCCACCGTTCCGATACGGATTAATTCCTTAAGTAGAGGGTCCACTGTATCTCATTAGTAATGCTGAAATGCATCAGGAAAGGTTAATTTAAATAAACAACACAAGAACTAAATGCTGTATGGTGCTATGAGAATATGTGCAGTAAATTCCTAGTATTGTTTCATTCTCGTTACATTTGGTGATTTAGCTACATGAAGTATTTCAGTGCTTGAACCACAAATACAGTATTATAATACCATTAGCTGAAGACATGAAGGAATGAACAGAGTACAGTAGTGCTGTTTGCCAGTTGCAGGAACCTCTTCCATTCTTGTCAAGACAGACAAGTCAATTCCATATTGAGCACCATCCTCTCTGAGGTTAAATAGTTGCATGGATTAATAGCTTCCCTCTAAACCTCAAGCAAGAAAAAGAAACTTACATCAATCACTGACAGGCCTCATAAAAATAAAAAATTAACATTCCTCTCTCCCTCTCCCTCCCTCTCTCTTCTTTTCTTAGTGGCGGCTCCTGACTTGCTGGACCCCAAATCTGCCACTCAGAACTCCAAACCCAGGCTCTCGTTTTCTACCAAACCCACTGTGCTTGCTTCACGGGAGGAGAGTGATACAACTATTAATGTTATGAAATGGAAGACGGTCTCGACCATCTTTCTGGTGGTGGTTTTGTATTTAATTATCGGAGCTACTGTATTCAAAGCCTTGGAGCAGCCACATGAAACTAACCAGAGAACAACTATCGTGTTTCAGAAGCAGATGTTTGTAGCACAGCATGCCTGTGTAAATGACACAGAACTTGAAGAACTGATTCAGGTAATTTCCTGTAAAGAAATGAGCGCTTGTCGTGTTTTAAAGGGAACAGAATTTGTCATTTACATGGGATGCTACTATACTAGCTACCTTGCACTGTGGCTCATATTTGTACATTGGACTAAGGTAGTGTGACTTAAGGCTGCACGTGCAAAAATCAAGGTAACCCTGTTTTGGTACTAGGATGGTGTTAACATGAATATTTCCACCAAATCCTTAAACTGTGCTTCCTTAGTTTGTTGTTCAGTGGAAGATGCAATACTGTATATTGCTCTTATGCTGGATAAGTTGCTGTATTGCCTGACAAAAAGAGCAAAATAGAGCCTTACCCACTACTTTTTATGAAGACTGCAGCTAAGGATGAGCAAGTATTAACAGTCTCACTAGCTTGTGTATATGTAACTGTGGTGGAGAGCTCTAGATATAAAACCCTACCTTGTACTTTGAAATGTAGTTTTTCTCTGTGTTTTGGATAGTATAGTTCTTGGCTGTTGATGAATAATGAAAAGAAATTACTACACTAAACCTGCAGTCCAGAGTAAGTGACATGGTATCCAGGTTTAGCTTAACATGAAGTATGAGAGATACAGGTTTAGCTTAACATGAAGTATGAGAGATACAGGTTTAGCTTAACATGAAGTATGAGAGATACAGGTTTAGCTTAACATGAAGTATGAGAGATACAATCAACTTTGTATAAATATTTGTTATGTTCTTAAAGAACAGTCCTATTAAATAGAACAAACTTATTTGGATGCAAAGACCAGACTTAACAGCCTTGGAAGTCCATTGGAATGCACCATAGAATGGAGTAAAATCAGCTACTTTGCAGTGCAATCCTATGCGTGTCTACTTAGATATAAGTTGTACTTGGTTGAATAGGGCTTCCAAGTAAGCATGGATGTGGAGACTAATCAAAAAATGTGTGTTTTTAGCCATTTTGGGGTGTCTCACTATACTGGGACTCTTCACTGAGACTCCCCCCTCCATGCACCAGGGAGATCTCCTGGCTTCCCTCTACCTTCCCCCACCTCCCTCATCTGTCAAATTGCACACAGCTTAATGCTGTTCCCAAGAAATCTTGTGCCACTTTCTGCAGGACATGTAACCATTATACATAGGTTGGTGTTTCCACCAAGGGGGAAAAAAAGAGAGAGAAGCATTGGAAAAAATCCATCCATTAGCTGCCTAGAGTGGTCCTGACCCGACCAGATAGGCGGGATATAAAATAAATGAATGAATGAATGAATGAATGAATGAATGAATGAATGAATGAATGAATGAATGAATGAATGAATTTTCCAACCAGGGGAAAAACACACACATGGAAGAATCTCACGATAGGGATAAAAAAAAGGTGGTTTTTTAAAAAAGAAATTGCAAAGATGATATTCCACAAGCAATATTGATTGAAGTACTTCTCTTTAAATATGTGATAAATTCAAGACAGAAAGTCTTCCGTATAGATGTCTGTGTATGGGATTGCAGGCATATACTCATACAGGTCTGAATGACGTAACTGATATCCCAAGTAGTGTAGGTGAATCCATGTACTTCTAGGCTGTGCCACTTTATCATTTATTCACTGTGAATTCTTCCTTTTCCACATTAAGTTTTCAAAATTGTATCAAAATATGTGTTTAAATATTATTTGAAAACATATATGAAAATGTGTTTTCTCTCAAAAGACATGTATTTAATTTCGATACATATTTTGATCCATGTGCTTTGATACTTTGAGAACAACATTGCAGTTTTCAATTAAGTGCTAAATGTCATACATTTTTTACTTCAGATCATATTAGTGCTAGGTGAATACCACCATCATCATAATCTTTGAACTGCAGAGGTGGAGAGGATCATATGGATGCTTGACTTCATTTCCTGTCAAGGAAGAACAGTGGGGAATTGAATTCCCAACCAGACACAGAAACTGCTGACAAATTCATTTTAAAAATTGCTAATTCATTAATTCATATTTGAAGGAATCCATGCCCCCAGCAAATCATGAATCACTAAATTTTTAGCAAATTTTGATTTGTCAGTTTGTTTGGCTAGAAAGTGACCCCCAAGGCGCCTAGAGACACCAAAATCACAGGGAAATTTCCTCTGACTCTCCTCCACAATCCCTCCAAGTTTGGTGAAGATTGGATTTCCCTGGGTCAGCTGCAAAAGGGCACTTTCCTTTGTAGTGGACCCAGTTTGTGGGTGTATAAATTGGTGTCTCTAAGTGCCTGGGGGAACATTCCTGGGGGGGGGTCTCCTTGTGGTCGTATACTCATATGTCCGAAACCCAAACCTCACCAAACTTGCAAAAGTTGTAGAGGAGACTCAAGGGACGCTTCCCTGCAAATTTGGTGTCTCTAGGTGCTGGGGCGGGGAATTTTATAGAGTTTTAAAGTAAAAAAATGAATTGACAAATCGTTTCATCAGAAAAAAACCATTAATTTGTAATTTAATGATTTGGTGACCTTGACGAATCACAAATCAAAATGAATCACCAATTTTCTAATTGCTAGTCTAAACTCTTCTTAAAATCAACCACAAGTATGTTTCAGGTTGGTGAGAAGAAAGATTAAGTGCTACCATATGATCTGGAGCAGCTTGTGGTCTGATAAGGAGAAGCCAGCTAACCCCAAAATTTCAGCGGGGTGCAGCCCATCCTCTGGTCATGAGCTGTCTATCAGTGACAAATTTGTAAGATGCTTTTGTTTTTGATATAGTGGTTTTAGCCCAAGAAATACTTCAAAGGCTCACTGTTTTTCACTGTCCCATTTGGATCACCTTAAGACACCTCCATGCTTTTCTTTTGAGTTATGGGTTGCATACGGATTGCAGTTTCACAGCAGTGCTTCCATTCTTCACCTTGTTAAGAGCTTGCCCTCCATTTCTGTCAACCTGTCATCTTTTGTAGTTGCTTAATTGCTGTTGAAAATACATTATGCTGAGGAGACCGGTTTTTGTTGCTTGTTCATAGAGCAATTATAATAATAGTTTTTAACTCCAGGGAGGATTGTTCTCAGTATGATTCAACACATAAACAGTATTTCTGAACTGAATTTTCTGAAGGTAAACATTAGGCAATAGTAGGGTATTAAGATAGCACTAATGACAGTCTGTGTGGGGGAAATTATAGGACTGTATTCATTATAAAGCTCTGTTTCCAGACCCTGGGTAGCTTGTTTCATGATCATACTGGATTTCACTTTTTAAAAGCCTTTTGTGACCATGGCTCAGTACCAACATAACAAATGACAGAGATAGGACTTCTTGAAATGTTCCCAGGAGTGTGTAACAGTGCAGATCTTGAGGAGCAGCTGCTCATCATGATTTATTACATTAACGATGCATCCAAGAAGAATTCCAATGTTTAGGCATCTATGTTGGCAAATCCATGAACTAGACTGCGTCTTGAAGAGGAATGTGTCTTTTGGAAATCTCATACGTCTTAATTCCCTTTACAGCAGGAATATATATATTTTAAGGCAGCAATATATTCTTACTGGGAAAATTTGTCCCATTTCCTCTGCAGTTACTGTGAGGTTTCCTACTAAGCTCAGAGGAAAACAGAGAAGCTAGAGACTGTTGAATAGGAGATGATGTTCCCATCTCTACTGATCATAAAGTTCCAATGCTTTAATCCTTTGAGCCCTGGCAGTACATCAGTGGTACATGTACATTTATATAAGAGTGAATTATCAATGTGAGTTTTCTGTGTAAGATTTGAATCAAATTTTATCTCAGTTGCATTTGCTGTAAAGTACAACATGCCCAATTACCAGTAATTTGTGCTGGTTGTATGTTGCATTTACAATAAATCTGCCTTTGGTATAGTGGACCTGGTTGTTTTAGTGGACCTGGTCATAGAATGTTTTTTGTGTCATAGAAGAAGATGACACAACTGTATTTGAATAAATGTAGATTGTTGTACATGAAAAAAATAAAACACCCCCTGAAAATAAGCCCTAATGCATTTTTGGAGCAAAAAATTAATATAAGACCCTGGCTTATTTTCGGGGAAACATGGTATATAGTTAGCAAATGTTTCCAGTATTGAGTTTTGCCTTGTTCTCAGTGCCCCCACACTGCTGTCCTTCCCCTTTTCCACTTATTTCTTTTGCACTACTCTCTCTGTCCATTCAGGTACTCATTCAGTGTTTACCAGGATCAAAACACGGTTAGTCCCTATCCACTCCTTTCCTCCATCTTTTTTCTTCTCCTGATTCAACTTGTTTCTTCCCCCACCCTAGTACTCAGACCAGAACTCATGGGACAGAAATATAACTTCTTTGGACTATAATTCCCAGAACCCTCAGCTAGTTCAGCCATAAGCATTCAAAGTTCAGCTAGTTCAGCTGTAATCATTCAAAGTGGGAAATTGACAGTACCTATGCAAAATGTAATGGTTCTAGTTCTGTCCTTTTGAGATGTCTTTCAGAACAAACCCACCTTTTGCTTAGAATTCTCTTGAACAATCTACCAGCAGAATGGTCACCACTGCAAAGCAGCTTCCGTTTCCATCTTGCAGCCTCTCAGGCATTGCACTATTTGCTACAAAGGATTGGCGGGCCCCGAACAAATTTGGAAAGTGTGAAGGGGGATTGCAAGAAGGCAGAGATGATGGGGAAATCCCATTGTGTGAGTAGAAGCTTCTGGTGCAATCAAGATGAAATGCCATCTTAGACTACTATGTTGTGCATGCCATGGGCATTCACATTTTTGGTGTGAGAGAATAATGTTGTAGGAATGTGACTTCCTCTAACTGTTTCCTAGGATTTTGACCTCATTTCATTCTCACCTGTTGGTCTTCCGGATAGTTTGGACTTCATTTCCAGCGGTTCTGTGCAGAATAACAGCCAGGGATTCTGCGCATTAAAATACCTGGAGGACCAATGGTTGAGAACGACATTTCCAAGTAGTGGTACAGTTGACAAGAGGCAAACAGAAGATGGGGGAGATTAAAAATATTTGTTATTCCATACATTTCAGACCTTTTTGTTCAA